GAGGCACAGGAAGCCCCATGACTTTCCTCACTCCCCTGCAGCGCTACCCTCAGTGCACCGGCTCAGCTCTTCCAGTCTGCAGGTCTGCAGCCTTGCGCTTTCTTCTTGGTTTTCTTGCTGGGATCCGTCCTGGGATCAAGCAGAAATAGTCTGAGAAAAAAGTAGCGCTGGGGCTGGGGTGCAAGGGAGCACAGGCCCGGGGGGTGTGGCAGACTGGCACACGTGCATGCATGTTGGGAGCCGCGTCTGTGATAGCTCGCCTTGCGCGGCGGACGTGCGGCCTGTGGTAAAGAGCAAAGCCTGAGGTAGATTACCCCTCCCATCGAATATGTTAGTTTCCTGCTTACCGCGTAAACAACCCGCTCAACAATATAGTCTGCCTGGCAACTGATGATGTTAGCCAATCAGCTTGCCTTGCTTACTTTAACATGATTGGACACTGTACCCGTATATATACCGGTGCCACCCCTGGGCGGAAGAAGAAGCCAGGTAGAAGCCCAGAAGTAAAAGCCCAAAAGGAGCCGCGGAGAGCGGACCGGTAGAGGCTTTGGGGCAGACTGAAGCACAAAAGGAGCCGTGGAGAGCGGACCAGAGGAGGCTTCAGCTGGGAGAACCCAGGGCAGGCTGTACGGAGAAGGAAAATAAAAAGAAAAGGTTGTCCACTACCAGACTTTGTCGTGTGTCCTTCCTGCCGGCCGGGAGCGGACATCGACATTTGGAGGCCCGCCCGGGGACTGATCACCCCCGAGACGTGACAGTGGACAACGCTCCAGTACAGAGCTGCGAGACAGGTGAGTTGGGGATAAGCCTGGGCTCTGGGTGGCGCGCACCTACAGGGCTTTTAGACTCCCCTCAGGCTCACGCGTAAGTGGCGGATTCCTTGGGCCTCACGCGGTGAGTAACATATTAAAAGATGGGAAACATGTTAGGTAGCAACACTAAGAGCGAGGGTGGTTGTGGAGAAAGCTCTCAAGAGCTTACAAAAGTACGCAGGGTATCTGAGCAGGCCCAGTCAGGGAGCTCCCGAGAGGGGTCCGTCAAGGGGAACAAGGATGCTAAGGAGGAGGACGGGGCTCTAGCCTCGGAGTCGTCTGACTCCGAGGACGAGGGAAAGTTGAATGGCAAGGAGGCCAAAGAGACCAGCTGTCAGGAGCCTAAATCGCTCAATAAGGAGTCGCAGGGTTCTTTTCCAGCGTTGCCCCGCGAATTGCGCTCTGCTCAACCTGGTCTGCGGAGGAGTAGAGAGCTCCTGAGCGCTCCCCGGCGCGAGAGGGAGGCGATCCCTCGCCACGAGGCGGCCGCCTGGGAGCTCCCTCCCCTTTCGCCAGAACAGGAAGTGATGCACGGGCCCCCATTTTCCGCCCAATCACGGCCGCTGTCTTATGCTCCGCCGCCGGCGGGTCGGTATTTTTACAGGCGGCTTTGGCAGGGGGGACGCTTGTCTCATGAGGTACATCCACCTGGGATAGATAGTGGCCCCTACGGGATATTTCCTGTACAAGTAGCTATGGGCCAGGGACGCAATGTATGGGAGCCTTTTGAGATAAAGCAGATTAGAGAACTTAAAAATGCAGTTACAACCTTTGGGCCGACTGCGCCTTACACCATTGCCATGCTGGAGAATCTGTCTTCTGGGCCCCTCACCCCCGCGGACTGGATTCAGCTGGCAAAGGCATGTCTGCCCTCGGGCAGTTACCTGGATTGGCGAGCCTGGTACACAGAGTTCTCTGCCGAGCAGGCTGAGAAAAACGCCGGTCGAGGAAATGGGGGCTGGGGATTTAGCTTAGCGGCATAAGCGCCTGCCTTGTAAGCAGGCAATCGCCAGTTCGATCCCTGGTACCAATAAAAAAAAAAAAAAAAAAAAAAAAAAACGAAAAAGATAAAAATAAAAAATAAAAAATAAAAAACAAAAAGGGGGAGTAAGCCAAGGCCTGCCTCCAAAGGCGCGGTTATCTATGACAGGACAATGGATGGGCCCGGATCCAGTGGTCAGCTGGAACCGAGGCGCGGTTTGTGTTTTTCCACAGGAACCGGGACGAGAACCACTGTGGATACCGGAGAGACTGACACGGGCAACAAAGCCCTCGACTGAAGATCAGACCTGCCCTACTGGAGATCCATCACAGACCAACCAATAAGATGAATAGAAATAGCGGTAGCCCGAAATGGACAAGAAGATCCTCAGGCATATGCATGGCTTGCTCAATTGGCCCACGACCGAGTCTAGATATGGCGGGCATCCCTCATTCTCCTCCATAAGGTGACAATACACAGCAGGGTAGGTGAGTCAATGACGGGTAAGAGCGTGCCTCCCCAGCACGACTCGACCTAAGCCAGGCCCTACCCCATCCTGCACGTAAGCCGCTGGACTGTTAGATGCTGCCCAGGTCTAAATTTCTCTCCGAGGGGATTTCTTTACGGAGAGGAAATGAGTGCAAGCTTGTGTGCATCCAGGTTCCGTCCAGTTTGTGCCTGGCCCTAGAAAAAGGACGAGGGCCTCAGGGCCTTGGCAGACTATGGCATGGCCAACCAGGGTCTAAGCCAAGGACCTACGGTGGACCTACACATAGGGCATAAGCCTCTGCACCCAGTCCAGGAAGGGCTACGATGCGCACATTCATAAAAAATAAAATAGGGGGAGATGTTGGGAGCCGCGTCTGTGATAGCTCGCCTTGCGCGGCGGACGTGCGGCCTGTGGTAAAGAGCAAAGCCTGAGGTAGATTACCCCTCCCATCGAATATGTTAGTTTCCTGCTTACCGCGTAAACAACCCGCTCAACAATATAGTCTGCCTGGCAACTGATGATGTTAGCCAATCAGCTTGCCTTGCTTACTTTAACATGATTGGACACTGTACCCGTATATATACCGGTGCCACCCCTGGGCGGAAGAAGAAGCCAGGTAGAAGCCCAGAAGTAAAAGCCCAAAAGGAGCCGCGGAGAGCGGACCGGTAGAGGCTTTGGGGCAGACTGAAGCACAAAAGGAGCCGTGGAGAGCGGACCAGAGGAGGCTTCAGCTGGGAGAACCCAGGGCAGGCTGTACGGAGAAGGAAAATAAAAAGAAAAGGTTGTCCACTACCAGACTTTGTCGTGTGTCCTTCCTGCCGGCCGGGAGCGGACATCGACACATGCACACACACGCAGATACATGTGCACACATGTGCAGGTAACGTCCGTGTGGCTGCAGGTTGAGAATAGAACATGATTTTGTGGGGTGGGATTGAGACAGGGTCTTGTGTAGCCCAGGCTTGCCTCAAACTCCCAGCAGTCATCCTGCCTCAGCCTTCAAAGTGCTGGGATAACAGGCATGCAGCTTGGAAAAGTTTTGCTCTCACTTGAGCAGTAGGATGGGTAGTGAGTATCCAGTATTTAATCTTAATTTTTGTTTTGGTGGATGTAAAAAAAACTCTTTTGGGCTGGTTTTTTGTTTGTTTGTTTGTTTGTTTTGTCTTTTTCTTTTTTATCGGTACCAGGAATCAAACTCACGACTGCCTGCTTGCAAGGGAGGCGCTTATGCCGCTGAGCTAAATCCCCTGGGCTGGTCTTTTTGAGACAGGGTCTCACTATGCAGTTCAGGCTGGTTCTGAGCTCACTTTGTAGCCCAGGTTAGTCTCAAACTTGCAGGGATCCTCCTGCCTCAGCCTCCTGAGTGTTAGTAATGTACCACCATACCCAGTTATGGAAGTAAATTATGTACTGGAAACTATTAATAGGCATATTTAAGGGTCACATAGTGGGCATCCAAGGAGGGTGATGCAGTAATAATAAATAATTCAGTATACCTCATATTATGTTAAAATATACGTTTTACTCAAAGACAGCCCCCTCCCAGTGCTGGGGACAGAACTCAGGGTCTTGGCACAGAGGCACCTGCTCTATCACTGAGTAGCACATTCACCTAAATTCATTTTGTTTCTCGGTGTTGGGGTTGAACTCAGCACTTCTGCACTGAGCAACATCCCTGGGCCTTTTTATATTTCAAGAAAATGAATTAAGTCACTAATTTCCATGGGCTGGGCTTGAATTTGTGATCCTCCTGTCTCAGCCTCCTGGAGTGACAGGTGGGCACCACCAGGCTAGGCTGGCAGTGGCCTCTGAGCTGTGTTTGACTCCCTGTCCTCAGAAAGGAGAATGTCAGAGGAGCCCATATGCACCCACGTCAGGCTGTCAAGTTATCTGTATCTATGTAATTGTTTTCCTTTGTTTAAACAAATTCCTTGCTGTTGCGTGAAATATGTGACAGCAAATAAAACCGTCACTCCTGGAAATGTGCAGTTTAGAGGCATATAAATGAGATGCAGTGCATTCTGCTGTTCATATTTATGGTTGAGACATATGTTCACTAATTCCCAAACAATTCCGAAAGCACAGATGGTATTCACTGCTTTATGGTCATGGTTCTCTGGCCCCTTTTCTAACCAGCTTTGGATATGAAACAGACTCCTTATCTGCATCCCCTTCTGAGCCAAGCGTTTTGCTAAGCTGGTCCTGCTGGGCCAGACTCGAAGTCCTCCTGCCTCAGCCTCCCTGAGTGCTGGGATTGCAGGCATGCGCCATTGCCCCTGACTACTTGGCAGCCTGATGCACTGGGCTCCGGGAGCTCAGGGAAGGCTTGTGACAGTGTCACCAGCCATCAGCCCTGGGAGCACAGAGCCTGGACCAGCGCTGCCGCCTCCCTGACACTTTAAGGCCTAGGGCCAGGCTCCTGCAACGCAGGCGCGGACGGTCCTCCTCGGCCCTTCTCCGGCTCCTTGTGCAGCCCAGGACGCCCCCTGCCGACGCAGTGGCGGAACAGCGCCGGGAGGGAGCGTTTCTGGGCTCGCGGGCGGAATATTTTTTTTCACCCATAGAGAGCGCCATTCTGTGCGTAGAGCAACTCACTCCTGTTAGCCCTTCTGTACGCACTTCCGGGTTAACCTCTATGATCTATCGGTTCACAGCAGCAGACGTTTCCGAAGTGTCAAGGCGCTGTAAACAAAACAGTCACAGACGGACCCGGAAGTAAAAGCAAAAGGCTGCTCGGGCCGGAAGCAGGCTGGGCAGGCGCAGCCATGGCGGTGGCGCTGACGCCTGTGGGAGCGCTGGGCGGCTCGGAGCCAGGCCCAGCGGAGGAGCTCGCCAAGCTCGAATATCTGTCCTTGGTGTCCAAGGTTTGCACCGAGCTGGACAATCACTTGGGGATCAACGACAAGGACCTGGGTGAGTCCGAGGGCCTTGGGCTGGGTCGGCGGCCGCGACCCGGGGACGATGGCTGTGGGGTCGCCGTCAGCTTCGCTGGGACTGCGGTCGCCTTGCTTGGACACCGGTTCTGGACCTTCGGGGCCAACCGTCTTGGGACTCGGATTAAGAAACCCCAAAGGCGAGCAGGGCCCGGGCCAAGACCCAGGTTGGGGCCCGTTGAGGAGGTGACGGGCGGGGTCGGGCGGATGCACGGAGGACACCGAGGTCCACTATCACAATGGGGGTCATGGGCACCCGTGTGATCGCTGTCTTCCCACACAGTCGGACTGAGGGCGGGGTGCAGGGCAGGGCCAGAGCGCGTGGGACTCAGCTCCCCCAAAATGAGAAAGGGGATAGGGAGGTGAGAGTTTTAGAGTTATCTTTTATTTTTATTATTCTTTTTAGTAATGGGAATTGAACTTAAGGCTACATCTTAGCCTTGGCCCTAGTTTTGAGATAGAGTCTCACTAAACTGTTCAGGCTGGCCTTGGATTTGACATCCTTCTGCCTCAGCCTCTCAGAGAGCTGGCACTTCTGTTGTTCACCACTGCAGGAAAGGCTGGGGATGTTACTTGTTTTGAGACAGAGTATCGCATTGTAGCACAGGCTGGCCTTAAACTCACTATGCAGCCCAAGCTGGCCTGAAACGTGAAACAGTTCTCTTGCTCACCTCCTAAGTGCTGGGGATACAGGCGGGTGCCACCACGTTGTTTGGAAGGTTAGATTTGTAATCTTGGTGGGGAGGTCCTTGCTTTCTTTGAAGCTGTTTTTCTGTCTGTGAAGTGGGATATCTTCAGGCCCATGTAGCACCTGAGAAAATGCCGTGTAATGAGTATGCAGCGAGTATAATTAATTGGTCACTTTTCTTCTACCTTGTGGCAGGATGGGCCTGCCTCCTACAGTCCTAACACCCCTGATGTGAAAGCCTGAAATTTGATGCTGAGCACTGATGGGATGCTGGCGTGTCAGCATACTGCTGCTGCCTGCTGGGAATGAGCTCTTGGCACAAGGCTGGCTGAGTGGATGCCGTGTGACTTGGTTTCCCCTCCATCTTTCTCCAAAGAGCATAGCTGAAGTTTGGTTGCCTGGGTGCCAGTCTTGTTTTGGTTACTACTGGGGCGGATGATGCCTAAGGCCCTGAGAACAGAACTGTGGTCTCTGCTTAGGAGGTCGTGAGGAGAACCCAGCCAAGCACCCGGTGTAGTACCAGGCAGGTAGCAGGAGCCTTAGTCACTGGCAGTGACAGATTGACAGTTCATGTGTGATTGTGGAGTGCAGTCTGCGAGCACTCAGCTCCCAGGTGCTGTCATCAAACAGATGAAAGCGCGTCAGGGGCTGTCGAGCGTCTGCCCAGCATGGCCCAAGCCTCGGGTTCAGTCTCCAGTACTGGAAAAGAAAAAAGGAAAGGTTAATTTCAGCCTGGAAGTGGCAGGGAAATACTAGTCCTACAGATCCTCTGCGCTGTTTATATTTGTTTAGATTAGATTTGATTAGAGTCAAAGGGAAATCATTGACAATGTCAGGTGTGAGCTTCTGGAGGCTGGAGGCTGCAGGACAGATCCCGCTGTGCGCTTCCCGTGTCCCCTGTGGCCACCTCGAGGGTCTGTCGTTGCCGGGCACTGATGGCTGTGTGAGAGGAGGGTCTGATGCTCCCAGGGCTCAATCCTGCTTTAAAGGCCTGCAGGGGCTTGGCGGAGCTCTGGGGTGGAAGCGGCTTCTTCTCATTTCCCAGCACTCCCCGCCCTGAGCGGAAGGAGTCTGGACCAGGAAGCCCTGTGTGACTGTATTGTCCAGGGCTTTACCCTCGCTGGACAGCAGCCTACACTGTCACAAGTGTGTATAGCACAATTAGTTTGTCTTCCACGTACTTGGAACTAATTTCCTGCTCAAGTCTGCTTAATTCCTTTCCTGCTTAATTCCTTTTCTGTGTTTGCAGCTGAGTTTGTGATCAGCCTTGCTGAGAAAAATACCACCCTTGATACTTTCAAGGCTTCCCTGGTCAAAAATGGCGCAGAATTCACGGTATGCTTGTCTGGAAACTTACTCTTTCTTGTTTCTTTCCTTCCTTCTTTCTTCAGAAGGAGAAATATATTTTGGCCTCTTTTCTTTTTTTAAATGTCTGTCATAAGTTTAATTGCTAGGGGTTAATGCAGGACTTAGATGAAGGAAGGAGGAGGTCTCTGCCCAGCGTAGTGACCCTACAATGGAGCAGGGCTAGCGAACCTGGCCTTTGGGTCCCCTTTCTGGGACAGTGTGGATATTTTCATTCCTCTCCCTGTGAATCAGGGAGGCAGGAATTGGAGGCGGGCTTGGAGTTAGCGCTAGACAGAGGGAGCTCGGTGGTAGGAGGGACTGAGTGAGCCTTCTTCTGGACACGGGCTCAGCTCTGTGTAGTGGCACCTCCCAGCCTGCTCCGCGCCCACTTAGTCAGACCCAGCTGCTGCTGCCACACTGCCCACTCCCCACAGGACTCTCTAGTCAGCAACCTGCTGCGCCTCATCCAGACCATGCGGCCGCCGGCCAAGGCATCCACAAGCAAAGGTGAGTGGTCCCTTGGTCAGTGTGGCCCGGCGCTCGGCCACTTCCTTCCTGCTGTCTGGGTGTGCTGAGCACTGAAGGTTTCCAAGGGACTTGAGACAGAACTAAAATGTTTTTACCCCAGTGCCTTTGCACTGAGTGGCATCCTCACCCCTTTCCTGTTCTAAGACAGAGTCTCAGCCAGGTGCTGAGTTGCCCAGGCTGGGCTCCAACTTGTCATCTCTTGCCTCAGCCTCCCAGGGTGCTGGGTTACGGCATCAGGATGCAGGCAGAGGACACAGATATATGCAGCCCTTCAGAGGCCCAGGTGGGGGGAGGGGTCTGGGTAGAGAGTGTGTGTGGAGTGCATTACCTCCCCGAGTGGCTGTGAACTCAGTAGGGGGCAAAGTAGTCCTGTAGGGAGGTCGCCTTGTTAACCAGCCCTAGAAATGTGTGTGTGTTTTTAATTCTCTCCTGCTCTCTCCCTGCCTCTGTGCTCCTGGATGGAATTAGATCCAGTTGTTAAGCCCAAGACTGAGAAGGAGAAGCTGAAGGAGCTGTTCCCAGGGCTCTGCCAGCCCGACAACCCCGCTGTCCGGGTATGACCACTCTGAGGGCGTCTGCTCCCCCTGGGGGCCTCCATCCTGCTCTGTCTGTCTAGTGACATGTAGAGTTTTCATGTTGTTTTGTGGTACTGGGAATCAAACTGTAGACCTTGCACTTACAGGCAGGCAGTGGCACTGTGCCACTGTTTTCTGTTTTTTGAGACAAGGTCTCCCTGTGTAGTTCAGGCTGGCCTTGAAGTCCCTATGTTGTCCTGGTTGGTCTCAAACTCTCGGGATCCTCCTGGCTCAGCCTCATGAGTGCTGGAGTGACAGGCAGGTGTCATATGATTTGTTCTTTTTTTTTTGTCTTTTTCGTTTTTATCGGTACCAAGGATTGAACTTACGACTGCCTGCTTGCAAGGCAGGCGCTTATGCCGCTGAGCTAAATCCCCAGCCCTCACCATGTGATTTGTTCCTTTGAACTTTGCAGGGCCCTCCCAGTGAGCAGGTGGTATGGTAGCTCCCAAGTACCCCGTATGTGGGGTGATGCTGGAGGTGCTGAGGGTGAGGTTCGGGAAGTAGGAAGCCGTGTTTGGGGTGTGAAATTGATGTGCCTTGAGTGTGAAATGAGTGGGACTTTTGGTTCTGTTACTTACTGGGGGGGCCTAATTTTTGAGGCACTTTTGTTTTTCACCTTGACTTTCCTAAGTCTTTGTTGAGTACCTCCTATACCCTTGTGCGGGAGTGACGAGTGGGCCGGGAAGGCCGAAAGGGACCCAGTGGGTACAGACAGGCAACACAGAGACAGCAGCACAGTGGCCCCGGGACCCTCTGGAGAGTCGCTGCAGCTCTGAGGCCAGCCTGGCCTGCTAGCATGACCCTGTCTCAAAAAAACAAAAACCTAGAAAAGAAGTGGCACAGCATTTACCCCGACCTGCACACGGCCCTCCGAGTGCTTCCCGTTGTTTACAGTGGCTGATACAATATAAATCACTCTCTGGGCGCCTGCCCTTTGGGGATCTGCGTGTCTTCTCCCCAGTGGTTGATCCCGCATGCCCCTCCACCCTGCAGACCATGCTGGATGAGGATGATGTGAAGGTCGCCGTGGACGTCCTGAAGGAGCTCGAGGCCCTGATGCCCAGTGCTGCAGGCCAGGAGAAGCCGCGAGACGCGGAGCACAGGTGCGTGGTAGGTCCCGTCCTCTGGAGCGTGGGCCGCCCTCGTGGTTATAGAAGGAGTTGGATGTGGAAGAGATGATGGGGCTGCAGTCGGGTGTTGCAGTTGGGTGTGTCTCATGTTTGCACATGAGTGTGTGTGTGCGTGTGTGTGCGGTGCAGCTGATGGCTCTGTGGGGCAGCTGGATCCCGGGCTGCCCCCCTGTTGCCTGCCGTGTGCTGTGCCAGGCCCTCGGGATGCAGCGGTAAGGTCTGGCTAGTTGCTTTCTCAAACAGGTCCTTGTTGGTTTATCAGGGACAGGATGAAGAAGAAAAAGCGCAGCCGGAGCCGGGACCGGGACCGGGACAGGGACAGAGAGCGAGATAGAGACAGAGACCACAGGCGCAGGCACCGGTCCCGCTCGCGGTCCCGGTCCCGGCCCCGGGACAGGAATAAAGGGAGGTCCAGGTACCGGTCCAGGAGCAGGAGCCAGAGCCCCCCCAAGGAGCGGAAGGAGCCCCGGGACAAGTACGGGGAGAGGGGCCTGGACAGGTGGCGGGACAAGCATGTGGACCGCCCACCACCCGAGGAGCCGGCCATCGGCGACATCTACAATGGCAAGGTCACCAGCATCATGCAGTTCGGATGCTTTGTGCAGCTGGAAGGGCTGAGGTAGGTGCTGCCTGGCTGCTGCCGAGGAGTGCGGTCACTGGGCAGCTCGAAGGCTTGGGAACTGACTCTCGTTTCTCCATGCCAGGGGTGGAACCCAGGGCCTCGAGCTGAGTGGTGTCCCCAGCCCCCTTTTTGGATTTTAATGAGAGGACCCTGGCTGAGCCTCACAGGCATGACCCAAACTTGTGGTCTCCCTGCCTCAGCCTCCCCTCAGCATCCTTTGTTCTCAGTTTCCCCTGATCACTCACCCTTGCACCCGAGAGCTTTCAGGAGCCTTGGGAGATTGGGTCCCCGCCTTCCCCAGCCGGCCCTGTCCCGAGCCAGGGTGGCCGAGCTAATCCTCGGTCATTGGCTTCCTCCTCCGAAGGTTGAGACTTCCGTTTTTGCGTTCTCCTCCCTCCCCGCCTGCCCTCTGTACTGGGACTGGGCCTGGCCTCCTGTGCGGGGCAGGTGTGTCTGCCCGAGCTGCCCTGTGCTCCCCTGTCCACCCTGCGGTGCCCCGCGTGCCAGGGCCAGGCACTCAGCTGCGTCTGCCTCTCCCCAGGAAGCGGTGGGAAGGCCTGGTGCACATTTCCGAGCTGCGGCGCGAGGGCCGCGTGGCCAATGTGGCGGATGTGGTGAGCAAAGGTCAGCGGGTCAAGGTCAAGGTGCTGTCCTTCACTGGGACCAAGACCAGCCTGAGCATGAAGGTGGGTGCACGTGGCTGCAGGCAGGAGGGGTGGGGCCGAGGTAGAGAGTGACCGGCGCCCGCCCTGCCTAGGATGTGGATCAGGAGAGTGGGGAGGACCTGAACCCCAACCGCCGGCGGAACCTGGTCGGGGAGGCCAGCGAGGAGGCTGCAATGAGGAACCCGGACAGACCCAGCCACCTGTCGCTGGTCAGCGCCCCCGAGGTAGAGGACGACTCGCTGGAGCGCAAGCGCCTGACACGCATCTCGGACCCTGAGAAGTGGGAGATCAAGCAGGTAGGAGTGCAGCGGGGAGGGAGGGAGACCCCATGTCCCCCTGAGCAGGGCAGGCAGTCCTGGGGCTTCCTGGGAGGGGATGTGAAGTGGTGTTCAGGCCTCTGTCCTGTCCTTGTTGTTCTTCAGCAGGCTCAGAGGGCAGTGCAGCTCCATGCGTGGCTGCCGGGTGCGGCTCCATGCTCCTCCTTCCTGGGGCTTTGCGTGCTGGGGGGAGGAGGGGTCACCCGGGATGTGCCTGGTTGGAGGAGGAGAAACCCGTGTCCTGCAGCAGCCCCTGGCGCTGGCTTGGGGCTGCAGACTGTCCCGCTGAGTGACAGTGTTGTCTCTGTCCTCTGGCTCAGATGATCGCGGCCAATGTCCTCTCCAAAGAGGAGTTCCCAGACTTCGATGAGGAGACCGGCATCCTCCCGAAGGTGGACGATGAGGAAGGTAGCTCCACCCCCACGTGTCCCTGTGCCCTTGGCCTCTGGGTGGGAGCGAGAAGCTCGATAGTGGGATGGTTGTCGCACTGGTCGCCTGTATTTCCAGGGTATAAAAAGTCACAGCTCCTGTGTTGGGAGAAGCAGTTCAAGCTCACGGTCCTAGTGAGGTACCGGCTTGAACTCGCCACCTTGGGGGGTGCTGCTCTTAAGAAGGCTGTTCACTCCACCCATCCTCAGGAACCAAGTCCTAGAGCAGCACGGGCTGTGCCCCCTGCCAGTGGGCCTGGCACAGGCGCAAGGAGCCCCTCTGGGGCCAAGCACTGGCCTCTTTTTTTTTTCCAACTGGTTGTCACCCTGACCTGTGCCCACAGTCATTTTTAATTTTTTTTGTTTTTATTTTTTATGTTTTTAGTTTTTACTTTTACTTATTAATTTATTTTTTCTTGCTGGGGACTGAACTCATGACCTTGCGTTTGCCAAACAGGCACTTAATGCTGCTGAGCTAAACCCCAGCCTTGATTTTTATTTTTTGAGACATGTCTTATTTGGGTCCAGGCATGGCTCAGACCCATGACCTTCTCTCCTCGGCCTCCCCTAGGGCCAGGATGGGTGCCCCAGTGGTCTCGCTCCACGTCCTTGCTCTGGGGTGGGTGTGCTTTCAGACAGGGTCTCGTTCTGTAGCTCAGGCTGAACTCCCACTGCAGCAACCCTCCTGCCTCGGCCTCCTGGATGTGGTGTGGCAGGTGCCGACCATGCCAGGCTTCCCAGCTCATTTTGAAGAGGTTTTTGCATGGATTGAGTCCTCTACTATGAAGTGGGGTGGCAGTGCCTTGTGCTTAGCGTGTCAGTGCAGGGCAGTGTTCCCTGCGGACCCAGGCTGGGACAGGTGGGCTCGGGTTTGGGGCCTTCGCTTTGCCCCCCACCGAGGAAGCCCTGTGGAGGAAGACAGTTGGTGTTGACGGGAGCACAAGTGACTATGTCTCTGTTGCATGGCTGCCTCCCCTGTCTGGACCCAGACGAGGACCTGGAGATCGAACTGGTGGAGGAGGAGCCCCCGTTCCTTCGGGGCCACACAAAGCAGAGCATGGACATGAGCCCCATCAAGATCGTCAAGGTGAGGCCTGGGTGTGCCCGGCCAGGCGTGTGTGGTGCCAGAGGGCATGAGTCAGCAGGCGCAGGGAGCCACGGGGAGGGGCCCCCAGGACGGGGACACGTGGCCATCTGTGACCCCTGGTAGTGTGCCAGTCGCCCCAGGATGCACAGCTGCCTTCATGCTGAGGCACGTGGGCTCCCATCCTCTGCTCCTTAGCGGGGGTCACATGTCTGGCTTTGCTCCCTGGCTTTGCTCCGAGGGGAGCCTGGCTCTGCTGCAGCCTGGGCTCTAAGACACTGGTGCCACCACCTCCCCTCTCTGCAGAACCCCGATGGCTCCCTGTCCCAGGCTGCCATGATGCAGAGTGCGCTGGCCAAGGAGCGGCGTGAGCTGAAGCAGGCACAGCGCGAGGCTGAGATGGACTCCATCCCCATGGGCCTCAACAAGCACTGGGTGGACCCCCTGCCTGATGGTAGGCGAACAGGGTGCCATGGGGGCCAGGGTCCCCTCCCCATCGGGTGTCAGCTCCCTGCGCCTCTCCCAGACCAAGTGGGAAGCAGCAGAAACGTGGTTAACCCCAGCCCCCCACAGGCTGGCCGAGGACTTTGGCTAAGGAATTTAAGAAAATTCTTTTTGACTGGGGACACAGCTCAGCGGCACAAGCACCTGCCTGGCAAGCATGAGGTCCTGGTACCCTAAAGCCCTGCATTGCCTGGGCTCCCAGCACCAGGCCGCGGTCCTGGCAGCGCTCACTCCGCTGTGTGGAATAGACATGCACGCTCACCTGAGTCTCGGCTCAGTGGAGATCCAGGCGTTTGTCAGAGGCCATGGCATAGCTCGTGAGGTGCTGGGTTGGTGCTGGGCACACGCACAAGCCACATCTGGGCTGACCACCCTGGCTGCCCGGGAGTGGCCTGGGCAGGGAGGGTCTGAGTCAGGAGTGGGCTGCAGGCCGTGTGGGTGTGAGTGACGCTGGCTGGGTGGAGGCAGGCCCAGTGGTGGGTCAGCCCCTCCCCACCCCCTCAAAATGGGCTCCTTTTCCAGGGCTTTGGCCATCAGAGGTGTGATATGTTTGCATATTTCAGAGAACCATTATGGGGTTGTTGGTTTTTTTTTTTTTTTGAGATTGTATCCCTATGTAGCCCAGGCTGACCTGGAACTGACAGCGATCCTCCTGCTTCAGCCTCCTAAGTGCTGGGATCATAGACTTGCACCACCAATTGTTTTTTTGTTCCTCACCCAAGATCCAGGGTTAACTGGGGACAAACCCACGGGTGCTGTATCCCAGAGCTACATCCCCAGCCTTTTTTATTTTGTATTTAGAGACGGGGTCTTGCTGAGTTGCTCTGGCAACCAGAATTTGCAGACTTTCTCCCTTGGTTCCCTCAGTGTTGTGATCACAGCGTGCTCGATGGCCAGGCCGGGCCCTGGGGTTAATTGTGAGAACCCAAGTTAAGAGTCTAGAGGCTGCTGGGGAAGGGAGGGGAGAGGCACTTCCTCTCGGGGTGCTGGCAGTGTCCCTAAAGCCAGCAGTGGCCCAGCTTGGTGAATGCACAGTGACCCACAGGGGACCCCTGGCATGGGCGAGTCGAGCACCCGGGTCAGGGCTGGGTCCCCTCGCAATGCCTCCCCATCAGCACAGCGTGTGCCCCCAGGGTCCCCGAGTCCAGGTGGGGACGGGACTCAGCCAGTGGCTTCTTCCAGCTGAAGGCCGGCAGATTGCAGCCAACATGCGGGGCATAGGAGTGATGCCCAGTGACATCCCCGAGTGGAAGAAGCATGCGTTCGGCGGCAACAAGGCGTCGTACGGCAAGAAGACGCAGCTGTCCATTGTGGAGCAGCGGGAGGGCCTACCCATCTACAGGCTGAAGGGGCAGCTGGTGCAGGTGGGCACGGCCCCAAAGTAGGAACAGCGGTGCGACCACTTCTGCATTGGGGTGCAGGGCCAGCAGCCCAGGGCAGTAACTGGAGGGAGCACTGGGCCGAAGGACCCCAGCGGCCAGGATGGTGCTGCGGTCCCTGCGTCCTGCTCCCCGGGCCCTGGTTTCAGGCCGTTGGCTTCCTTGGGGTTGCCGAACTCCCGCTTGCTGGCTCCTTCGCTGTTAGTGTAGAAATGAGTACGGGGGAGAGGTGCCAGGACAGTGGTGGCGGGAGGCACCCTTCCATAGCCCCGTGACTTCCCATGGTCTCCCCGAGCGTGTGTTAGAGCAGGCCCAGTGCCTGGAGGGGACGGGTGACCTTCTCTCCCTTGTGTCTTCAGGCCGTGCACGACAATCAGATCCTCATTGTCATTGGTGAGACTGGGTCCGGGAAGACCACGCAGATCACCCAGTACCTAGCTGAGGCCGGCTATACAGCTCGCGGCAAGATCGGCTGCACGCAGCCACGGCGTGTGGCCGCCATGTCCGTGGCCAAGCGTGTGTCCGAGGAGTTTGGCTGCTGCCTGGGCCAGGAGGTGGGTGCCCCCCTCTGCGGGCTCGGCATGTCCTGGCCTAGGGACAGGAAGCACCGTGGTGAAATTCCTCTGTACTAGGCCCAGCAGCACATGGGATAGGCCCTGGGAAATAGGAGGAAGGTGCTTGGACAGGGCTCAGGCCTGGGAGGGGGAAGGGAGGCTAGTGGGGCGGGGGGGGGCAAACCCTGCAGTGCACAGCCCTCAGGACGCCTCTAATACGTACCCGTCCTAAAAGACTACAAGAAAGGTCAGGACTCAAGGCTAGACGCAGGGGTGCACACCCATCATTCCAGCACCTGGGAGGCCGAGGCAGCACGGTCGCCTTGAGCTTAAGGCCAGGCTGGACCTCATCTGGAGAGGTCAGGAAACGGCTCGAGGTGGAAGTCTGACCTCACCCAAGCACGCTGGGGGCAGGTGAGCGTCTAAGCCCGTGCCGCCCTCGGCAGGTGGGCTACACCATCCGCTTTGAGGACTGCACCAGCCCGGAAACTGTCATCAAGTATATGACAGATGGCATGCTGCTGCGGGAGTGCCTGATCGACCCTGACCTGACGCAGTACGCCATCATCATGCTGGACGAGGCGCACGAGCGCACCATCCACACTGACGTGCTCTTCGGGCTGCTCAAGAAGGTGCGTGGGGCCAGGTCTCACAGGAGACTACTCTCCCCCCTGGTGGTGGGGCGCTCAGGCCTGACCCGCTGCATCCCCCAGACAGTGCAGAAACGGCCGGACATGAAGCTGATCGTCACCTCAGCCACACTGGACGCGGTAAAATTTTCCCAGTATTTCTACGAGGCGCCCATCTTCACCATCCCGGGCCGCACCTACCCCGTGGAGATCCTGTACACCAAGGAGCCCGAGACAGACTACCTGGATGCCAGCCTCATCACTGTCATGCAGATCCACCTCACTGAGCCACCAGGTAGGCTGAGTTGCGTTTGCTTCCTGGCTTTCTCTCTCCACTCGAGGTGCCTCCTGTACCCTGGTTACAGACATGCACTGCCCCGCATGGCTGATGGCACCTTTGCCTGGCAGGCATGGTCTGAGGCCCGGAAATACAGCTTCTCAGACGTGGGTAGAAGTGGTCTGGGTCTGTTTAGAGGTCAGAATAGGAACATGCACTTTCTGTCTGTCTGTCTGTCTGTCGCTGTGGACTCGGTGTTAAGCCTGCTGTGGTCCCTGCTGCCTGGGAGGCTGAGGCAGGGGGATCACTTCAGCCCAGGTATTTGGGGCCAATGTAGCAGAGAAACATGGGAGGCGTGTGGCTCGGTGTCACGCTTGCCTTCCATGTGTAAAGCCCCAAGTTTGAGACTGGCACCCCATGCGCACTCTTGTGTGCACACATGCATGCATTCTCAAGTCCTGCTCCACCCCCGCAGGCGACATCCTGGTCTTCCTGACCGGGCAGGAGGAGATCGACACGGCCTGTGAGATCCTGTACGAGCGGATGAAGTCGCTGGGCCCTGATGTGCCCGAGCTTATCATTCTGCCCGTGTACTCCGCACTGCCCAGCGAGATGCAGACCCGCATCTTCGACCCTGCCCCACCGGGCAGCAGGAAGGTGAGGCGCGGCTGTAGCGGGCTCCTGGCCTTGACCTCTCCCCACCACCCTGTCTGTGTCACACTTCTCCAGTTAATGCATGTGACAGGTCCATGGGTGTGGTGGTGTCTGCATGGATACACAGCTATGATTGAGGCTGCTCAGCATGGCCACCACCTCATGCTGTCCTGTGAGCCTGCCGGGCTTTGAGTGGGGGTCTTGCTGTGGATCCTAGGCTGGCTTCACGTGCAGAGGTACGAGGACTGGGATGACAGGTGCGCACCACCACACCCAGCTGGTCTTTGCTGCTGTTTGCTGATGAGGACAGTTCTCAGCTGCTCTGTGTCCACTGCTGCCTAGGTCGTTTCCCCTGTGGACTTAACAACACTGGCAATGCACCATTGTCTCCCATTATGAATCAGGGCCTGCACGCCCAGCCACATCTCTGGTCCATTTTTTATTTTTGTTTTGAGACAGAGTCTTGCTTAGTTGTACAGGCTGGGCTCGAACTTGGAATCCTCCTGCTTCAGCCTCCTGGAGTGCAGAGATGACACATGTGTACTACCTCACCTGGTTTGGTTTACAGGTTTTCATGTACACACAGCAGGTACACACACACACACACACACACACACACACACGTGTTCATTTCCTTAGGAGTAGAGACAGATGGGCTTGGATGGCAAGGAAGCTGGAACAGAGGACGCGTTGCAGGTGCCTGGGTGGCAGGGAAAGTCCGGTCGCTGCGGGGACAGTGGTTCCTGGAGAAACAGGCGGGTCCCAGTTCTCCCCATCTCCCAGTGCTGCTTTCCCGAGGACTGAGCGGGGCCTCTGGGCGGGGGACAGCAGTGCCAGGCTGAGCGCCATCGCCTCTGAGGTGACGGCTGCTGCTACACACGTGGCTGTTGGACTCGTGGCTCTGTGGTTCCCATAGCAGCAGACAGATAGCCATCCACTTCGCATTTCTGCAGAGCAGCCCTCGCTGGGGAGGGGAACCTCATTTGCCCTGGCCCATGCGGTGCCAGGAGACTGCGGGCTTTCCAGAGGTCCTGGGGTGACAGTGCCAGTGAGTCTGGACGGCAAGCCTAAGTGGCACAGGACGGTTGGCTCTTCCCTGTCCTGCCCTCCAAGGGGTCATCCACCCGGCCTGGTGGTGGAGGAAGGTGCTGAGCTGCCATGCGCAGGGTGACCTCCAAGGGCATGGCCTCCCGGGTGCAGCCTTGCAGGCAGGCGTCTCCCTCACCCTGCTCTGTCCTGACCTTGTCCAGGTCGTGATTGCTACCAACATTGCAGAGACCTCGTTGACCATTGATGGCATCTACTATGTGGTAGACCCTGGCTTTGTGAAACAGAAGGTCTATAACTCCAAGACGGGCATCGACCAGCTTGTGGTGACACCCATCTCCCAGGTACGCCTTGGCGCCGGTGTTGGTGTCGGCCTTGGCGCTGGAGCTGCATGGGTGGGGTGGAGGTGGAGACGGGCAGTGCTGCCCCCTTGTACCCTAGAGCAGGGTCTCGACAGTGCTGTGCCCCTCAGACCCTGACCCGCAGAGGAGCTTGGATCCTGGCATGCTGGATTACCCGATTCTCGTGTAAAGATTTTTTTAAAAATTATTTGATTTTGGTCTTTTTGGGACAAGGTCTTGCTCTGCAATCCAGGCTGGCCTTGGACTCTTGAGGATCCTCTTGCCTCAGTCTCCCAAGCGCTGGGATGACAGGCGTGCACACCAGGTCCAGTTCATGCTGATAATCTATACAAACTATACCACTTTTCATCTTGACTCAGATTGCAATAGCAGATGGCAGAGGGTTCGGGGAGTGCCCAGAGTTTTCTTACAGGCTCACAGAGCACCAGCCTGTGTGGCAGAGGAGACCGTGGGCGACCTGTGCCCCAGTACACATGCAGCTCCTGGGAGGAGTGTGGACTCGGGCTGAGCTCAAGTCCGACCTGCCCTGCTCTGGGAATCTCTGTGTGCGGCACCAGGGGCCGTGTGTGACCACCGCTGTCACCCTGCATACTCTGCTCTTTGCCATGGGGCTGTGGTTGAACACAGACCCCCAATGCCAAGCTCGCCCCCCTGGGGTGCCTGTAACAGCCCAGGAGAAACTCGGCTTTGTTTTATGTGTGGTTCACTGTCCCAACGCCCAGCGGAGCCCGAGTTCCAGGTGGACCATCTGGGAGTCTGAGGAAAACGGCTCATTGCAAGGGGTAGCCCAGGGTCAGGAGTCGATTTGCACACGAAAAAGCCCCTGGGCAGTGTTCCTGTCAAGGGGACCAAGGCCGAGGAGTTTGTGTGGCAGGGCCTGGCAGAGATGCACCCCACGCATGGCGGGGAGGAGTGGCTGGGAGGGAGCAGGATACTGCAGGCGCAGTGCCAGCTGGGCCCAGCACCCAGCCATGGTCCCAGGGACACCAGCCTGGCCTGGGCCGTCTGTCACTGGCACTGTGGTCTGATGGCGGTCTTGATAGCAGAGCCCCAGCGTCCGCCCAGGGTGGGTCCTGGTCTGTTCTGCTTGCTTCCCTCGTCACCCTAACTGCAGGGTTGTTACATTGTGCCCTGTGATGTGCTGGGTGTGCCCAGAAGGGATGGGTGCCGCCGTTCTTAGCTTCTAACATCCTTGTCTCTGTGTGTCCGTCCCCAGGCCCAGGCGAAGCAGCGCGCGGGCAGGGCGGGTCGCACGGGCCCAGGGAAATGCTACCGGCTGTACACGGAGCGCGCGTACCGTGACGAGATGCTGACCACCAACGTGCCCGAGATCCAGAGGACCAACCTGGCCAGCACTGTGCTGTCTCTCAAGGTAGCAGGCAGCACTGGCCCAGGGCTCTGCGGGTGTGTAGAGAGTCTGGATGAGGGTCTGTTCCTTACAGGAGCTATAGGATGTTTGGTTGTAACAGGTGTTGGTCAGAAGCGGTGTTAAAAGTTTGTGTATTTTATGTTTGATTTTTGAGAGACGGTCTCACTGTGTAGTTCAGGCTGGCCTTGAATTTGTAGTAACCTTTTTGCTTCAGCCTTCTGGTTGTTGGGGTTACAGGGAGGAACCACCACACCCTACCGAGGACTGCTCAGAGCCTCACGTGCCTGCAGAGGGGACAACAGGGGATAAAGAAAGACACAGACACAAATTTCAGGGGACCCAGGGCTCTGGGGCTGCTCATCTCTGGTGCACTGGCTCGGCTGCCAGCATGGGGGATGGGGGGGCCAAGGTTTCGTGAGTAGTGCATTGGGGAGTGGTGGGGGAGGGGGAGGTTGATGGGGACCAGGTGCTCTCTGCACCCAGCTGCCTGTGTGGTGCCCACTGTGCTCGCCAGACACCGTCTCCTCAGGGCACATAGCCTTCCCCACACCTCCTGGCTCCTGAGGCCACCCAGTGCCGAAACCTGGTTCTCAACAGTCCCTGGCAGCAGTGATTTTGAAAAAGGAATCAGGGACACAGAATCCAGGGTACACCATGGGCCACCTCGGCCTCAGCACCACCGGCTTCTGGTCCGATTCTGCTCTGGGAGGAGGGGGTGCGCTGCCTGGAGCCTGGTGCTGCCCGGCACAGAGAACTCTTTCGTGCCTGTGCAGCCGTGCTCCACAGGCTTGCATGGGGTCAGTGTGTTGCGGTCCGCATGGGGCCTGCCGAGCCCCTCAGCTTGAGCCTTGTGTTGGTGCTCGCTGTGGCTTGGGTCCCTGTCTCCTGCTCGCCAGTGCTCACTGCCGACCCCGTCACCTTAGAGCGATGTCTCCTTCAGTCCTTAGCCCTGTTCAGACCAGGTGATTGTTGTCTTGCTTTTGAGTTATGTGTTATCATTTTGGGTTACTGGTTCTCAAGTTTTCTGAGAAAGGGCGAGCTTTATACTAGCCCGGCCTGGGCCTCAAGCTCACTGCACTCCTCCTGCCTCAGCTTCCCAGCACCCCCATTCGCCACTCTAGTGTCCGAGCTTTAAACAGCTCAGCCCAGAGGATCCTTCCAGCCTGGCTGGCGGCTTCCTGATTGCACGGTCCCCCTGCGTGTCCCTGCTGACCCGCTGTGTCCCCTCCTAGGCCATGGGCATCAATGACCTGCTGTCCTTTGACTTCATGGACGCCCCCCCGATGGAGACCCTCATCACAGCCATGGAGCAGCTCTACACGCTGGGGGCCCTGGACGACGAGGGCCTGCTCACCCGCCTGGGCCGCAGGGTGAGCATGCATGCCGCTCTTGGGCCCCCTTTACTATGACGTTAACCATCCCCCATCCCGCTTTTTTAAGAGGATTTAGTGAGAGGAAACTTTTGCCTTAGAGGGACACAAGGGGCCGTCAAGGGGCTTCCCGTCCACCGCTCCTCTCTGTAGGGAAAGACGTGGTCGCAGTTCCCTGACATGGGCTCTACTGAGCCCGCTTCACCCCCACCCCACCCCAAGGGAGCTGAGTCCCCTCTCCCGTGTTGCGCCAGGGATTGTTAGGGGAGATGGCCGGCCGGCCCCTGACTGTGCCCGTGCACCCCTAGATGGCTGAGTTCCCACTGGAGCCGATGCTGTGCAAGATGCTCATCATGTCTGTGCACTTGGGCTGCAGTGAGGAGATGCTGACCATCGTGTCCATGCTGTCCGTGCAGAATGTCTTCTACCGGCCCAAGGCAAGTGGGGCATGGGGTGAGTGGGGCATGGGTACGGGGCAGGTAGGAAGTGACCAGTAGGAAGTGACCAGCCTCCCCCACACGGCAGGACAAGCAAGCACTAGCCGACCAGAAGAAGGCCAAATTCCACCAGACCGAGGGTGACCACCTCACGCTGCTGGCCGTGTATAACTCCTGGAAGAACAACAAGTTCTCCAATCCCTGGTGCTACGAGAACTTCATCCAGGCGCGCTCCCTGCGCCGGGCACAGGACATCCGCAAGCAGATGCTGGGCATCATGGACAGGTGGGTGGGCTTTGGGGCCCTGCAAGCGCCATCCCGTCCTCCACTCCAGAGGGATGGCTCACAGTGCTGCCCCTGCTGTCACTGCAGGCACAAGCTGGATGTGGTGTCCTGTGGCAAGTCCACCGTGCGCGTGCAGAAGGCCATCTGCAGTGGCTTCTTCCGCAACGCTGCCAAGAAGGACCCACAGGAGGGCTACCGCACACTCATCGATCAGCAGGTGGTCTACATCCACCCCTCCAGTGCCCTCTTCAACCGGCAGCCCGAGTGGTAGGTGCAGCCCACCCCGCCTGGTCTGTGTGCCCAACCTACATCCCGGTGTTGCAAAGTCCAGCGTAGCGTAGGTCCTCGGGGATCACAGGCAGGAGCAAGGGGCATCCTGGGGCTGACCTTTCAGAGCAGGGTTTGAAAAGCAAGGGGACTGTGGGGTTGGGGTGATGGTGCAGCCCTGTGACCCCAAGCCCTGGAGGCTGAGGCACTTTGAGGCCAGCCTGGGCGGTGAGGGGCACCTGTCCCCAAGAAACAAAAGCAGCCAAAACCAGGCTGTTCTGGAGAAGCCAGTGGGAAACGAGTGTCAAGCAGCCATGCCCGGCATGGGGTCCCTGGAAGTCTGAGTGGGAGCTGGGGCTGGGGCACGGGCCACCCCTGAGCCAGGCTGATGCCTCTCTGGGCAGGGTGGTATACCATGAGCTGGTGCTGACCACAAAGGAGTACATGCGCGAGGTCACCACCATCGACCCACGCTGGCTGGTGGAGTTCGCGCCCGCCTTCTTCAAGGTGTCCGACCCCACCAAGCTCAGCAAGCAGAAGAAGCAGCAGCGCCTGGAGCCACTGTACAACCGCTATGAGGAGCCCAATGCCTGGCGGATCTCTCGCGCCTTCCGACGGCGCTGAGGCCCAGCCACCACCTGCGCTGCCACCTGTGCCCCCAGCCCTCCCTGTCCCTCCATGTCCTCAGAAATATTTATTTTTGTAAGGAAATGAGAATGGCCTCCCGTGCCTGTGTCTGTCTCCGGGAGGCTCAGGCTGAACCCTGTCTGAGAGGAGCCACTGGGAGCCGCCTTTGGCTCAGCCTGCCCGGCCCTGCCCCTTCGGCTGAATTCTCCTCGACCTTGTGGGACGCTGCAGGCAGGCACTGCCACATGCGTGGGGATGGAGGTGCCCAAGTGCGGGGCTTCACGGTCCTGTAGGCAGCAGGCCTCTGACCTCCGCCCCAGGGCTGGGTCTCTGAGGTTTGTCTCCAAGGCTCCTTGGGCAGTGGGTACCACCACCCCCAGAAAGCTGAGAGGCCCTGCTCTGGGGACACTGCAGGGGGCCTGCGCCCTGCCCATCTGTGGGTCCTGCAGCACTGGACGCCAAGACTGTGTTGTCACTGGGAAGCAGGAAAGCACCTTGCAAACAGTTCACGGGTTCATGGGAACAGGTGGGGTGTGTGGGCCACAGGCCCCGTGGCCCCCTCTTCCTGCCCCACCCCACCTCCAGCTAGGTCTCATGCCAGGCCTGCTCCTCAGCACAGTCCCCACTCTGCGTAAGAAAGGAACTTTGGGTTCTGCTTTGTGGCCCTGCGGGTTGGACCCCGGGAACTGATCTGAGCCCCAGGCCTCTGGAGAAAGCCTCACCACATTGCCCAAGCTGGCCTTGGACTTGGGATGCTTCCGCTTCAGCCTCCCTCTTCCCACTAGTTAGGTTCCCACTAGTTAGGTCTGGTGGAGCTGGGGTCTCTGCCATGACAGTGTGGCCAGGTGTGGCCTCCTGCTGTCCATGGGAGAGGCAGCCTGCTGTACTCACTGTGGCCTGGGTCTCCCACACTGACAGCCTGGGGGTGTGGGTCTTGGGCACACTGGGGTCTTCCCAGCTTTGAAGTCTTGGTCACCCCAGCTCGGGAGTCCCAGCCTGCTCACAGAGCTACCCTTGGTGCAGCTGCTGGCTTCTAACAACCCTGCCCCCTCCCCTCACAGAGCCCTCCCTGTCACCCTTCCCTTGTGGTCAAGTGGAATTAAATTATATATTTTTCTAAAGTTTAGGATTGATCTTCTGTCAATCCTAAGGACTAACCTTGCAGTAACTCAGGCAGCACACTGGTAGACATTTCTACCAGTGGCAGAGGCCAGGCTCAGGTGTGGGTGGTGCCTCTGCTTAACTGCTAGCCTGGGGTCTAGTGACACCAACCACGCCTCCCCACTCCTATGTTGGAGGGTACTGCTCGGGCCCTTCTGCAAGACAGGATTTCCAGCCCCTGCTGCTCTACACTGTCTTCACTCATGGGACAGTCTGTTTCCCCGAGAGGCCAGCAGCCCAGAGGGGAGACATGCTGTGGGGTACTTGTAGGTGACCACGATCCCTGCCCAGGAGGGTTTGCACCAAGCATCATCCTGGGACCTCTGCTCAGGAGGGAAGGGCAGGGGGTACTGGCCATATCTCATGTGCCTGGCATACACACTGCCCAGGAAGCACAGAGCAGAGACACTCGAAGGGAGGCAGGGCCTTTATTAAGGTTGCTGGGCGCAGAGGAGGAGCCCATCCCCCCATCCAGCACCCTAGGGACCTGCCCCACCCCAGACAGCACCAAGAACTGATGGGCTGCACCCTCCAGGGCCACAGCCTAGGTAGGGCAGAGTTTGGGAGAGTGGGAAGCTCAGGGGACCCCAGGCCCCTTTGGTCCCCAGGATGCATAAGATGCTCCGACCCTCCTTTAGAGCTGGCCCTTCATCCGTGCTCTGTGTGGGCTGGCAGTTCCGGGGGTAAGTGGGGTTTGCCCCAGGCCGTGAGCTCAGCTTCCTTGCTGTGTTTATGGGCAGCACCCACTGGGGCGGGCAGTGTGGCTGCTAGTATGAGTAGCTGCCCTTGGTGCCAAAGGGCTGGGCGGGGCCAGCCAGCTCCGGGAGATAGACAGGGCTCTCATCCAGGTGGGACAAAGGGACCGTGTCCTCCTCACTGACTGGCCGGTCAAACTCAGCCTTCAGAGCTGGCCGCTGATTGTCCGGGAAGGCCAGTGAGAACAGAGCCTCGGGCTCGCACACGAACTTGTACACGTAGCGCTCCCCAGCCACCTGCGGGGGAGGGTGCAGTCAGCCCCGAGGTGTCCTGAAGCATGAGGCTGGGGGACCCAGGGACACGGGACCCTGAGGCCCATCCCCATGCTCAGGCCTGTGAGGGGATCCCATGGGGCTGCCCTGTTCTCGTCCCACCTGGACCCCACCCTCTCTCTAGCCCAGAGCCCGGCGACCCCGGTGACCTTCTGCATGATGCCCTTCTCGTAGTAGTACCGCAGTGAGCGGCTCAGTTTGTCATAGTTCATGGCCGGCCGATTCTTCTGGATGCCCCAGAGTCTGGCGACCTGGGGAAGGGACAAGTGCTGGGGTGGCGGGAAGGGCGCGAAGAGCGCACAGCTTGGGGCCAGCGTGGGCATTGGGCACCCACCTCCTCTGGCTCTATCAGCTTGAACTCCATGCCCCGGCCGGTCCAGGCAATGAAGTGGGCGTTTGTGGGGTCATCCAGCAGGGCCACCAGGAACTGCCAGAGCTGCAGGGTACCTCGGCGTTGGTAGGGCGGCCCCTCTCGGAAGGCACTAAACCCCTCCTGCTTGACATCCCCTAGGGACACAGGAAGGAGGAAGGGGCCTGCTCGCTGGCCACGGTTCACAGCAACCTGTCCCTTGCCACAGTGCCTCCCGTAGGGATACATGGAGGGGGCAGGTGTGGACCTGATCCTCCCTCGAATTCACTGCTTTGACCTTCAAATGTCTCAGGGACGACACAGACATCATTGGGGAAAAGCGGCAGAGGTTTCTCATAGCCATAACCTTGGGAGGACGTGGGGGCAGCTCACACCAGGGGGTTCGCTGACCTGGGAGCCCAAGAGTCCCTCCCCCACCTTGGCAGGGATCGTGGGGAAGGGCCGCCTTACCCATGACCCGGTCACCTGCAACAGGCCCCGAGAAGCCCTCTGGGTGGAGGTACATCGAGGCACAGCCAGGGACGTCTGAGGGAGGACAGAGTGCTGTTTAGGGGGTGACCGGGTGGGGGCTCTGCCCTAGCCTGCCAACTGCCAGCGCCTGGGCAAAGCTTGCCCACAGCAGCCCCAGGCCTGGGCCCCTTGCTCAAGGGCTGGGGTGGCACAGCTGGGCCAGGATTCCAGGAGCAGCTGCTTCCTGTGTGCCCAGGGGGATGAGGAGGCGCCATGAACCTCCGGGGAGGGAGTAGGGTGTCCGAAGCCTGGGACGCCCTCGGACTGGAACGGATGCACGTCCGGTCGGCAGGTCAGGTTCCCTGTACTAGACTCTGTTTTTGTGTGTGTGTGTGTGTGTGTGTGTGTGTGTGTGTGCATGTGACAGGCAGGTTGCGCCTCTGGGCTGCTTTCCAGCCCAGCAGCCATCTCATTCCACTCCACAGCGTGGACACCTGGCTGCACCCTCAGATGCCACCAATCCGGTCCCCACCCCTTCCGCCTGCCCCCTCCACTCCCAGGAGGCGAGCTGAAACCCGACACTCGGGAGGCGGGGCCAGCCCAGCCATCCTCCATTTTGTGAATGGAATTCCTGACTCCCTTCAGCCCCTGGGCGGAGGAGCCCAAGGACTTGAACAGGCTCTGGCCTGCTGCTTTGGGAGGTCAAGGCCTAGCCCTGCCACCTCCCTGCCAGGCTGGCTTGGACCGACCCTGGAGGACAGACTGGGTCCCCGGGGTAGGGGCTGTTCACTGGGCGGGTGGAAAAGGGGTTCACAGCAACCCTGCCCCGGCACCCCGCTTCAGGTGAAAGATGTGGAAAGGCTCGTGTGCCCTGAGAAGTATGGGCCTGGCTATGACCAGTGCCTGACCTCCACTTGTTCAACCCCGTGCCCACCCAGGTCCCCACCTCTGCTCCAGCTCAGGACCTTAGTCTTAGGAACTAAAACCCCAAGCACCAGCTAGAAGCCAACGCCTTCACTTCCCTATTGACTGCACACCCTTACCTCCCTTCCCGCCCTACCAGGCCTGATCAAACCCAAGGCAGCACACTGAGCCACACTCTCAGCGCTTTTTAATTCTCAGACAGGGTCTCCCAAGTTGCCCAAACTAGGCTCAGACTTGTGATCCTCTTGCCTCAGCCTCCTAGGTGCTGGGGTGACAGGCCTGTGCCACCACCCTCAGCTGCCTTTATCTTTCTGTCTATGCCTGCTGTCTGGAAAAGACAGTTCTTCCCAAAGTAGAAGAAAGCTAGCGGGTATATGGGCATCCTAGCCGGGACAGCCTGGGAAGCTGAGTCTGTGGGAGCGGGAGAGGCCTCTCACCTGAGTCGTAGGCGAAGTCCATATGCTCCTGCTTGACTACCACCCCTGCCCCTGGGTACTTGTGCCCGCCGAGCCCGCCCCGGCCTGCCTGCTCGTACAGGGGGTCGTGGTATTCCTGCTTGAAGCCCTGGTGTGTGTACGGCGGGCAGGGCTCGGGCAGCGGGTGCTGATAGGGGGCTGCCAGGGGGTCCCCGGAGCCTCCCTGGGGAGGCGTGAAGGAGCGGCAGATGTCCAGGGGCTGCTGGAAGATAGGGCTGTACACGTGGGCAGGGACGGAGAGCAGAGAACTCCTGTTAGGCCCTCCTGTGGGGGATCCCTGCGTGACTCTCCTGGGGGTAACTTCCTGCCTCCCCCAAGCCTCACCTGTGTTCCCCGAGGTGCCCGTGGCTGGGGTGGGGCTGGCTGGGCCCAGTGGACCTTAGGAGACTCCGGGGCTCTGCCCTAGGGAAGGGCTGCAGGGGTGACTGGCCAGGGGCACAGGGGGCAGGGGACTTAATGGAGATTTGTCTGCAGGGCACAAGCACCAGGATGGAGAGGGAGAGGGGTAAAGGGGTGGAGAGAGGAAGGTGAGGTGAGGTGTGGGGTGGGGCAGAGGGAGGCAGGGATTCCCCCTCCTCTGTCCAGGGACTAGGCCTGGTCAGAGCAGCCAGCCGGGGTGGGAGGGCAGGCTCATGGTGGCCCGGACACCTCCGAGGCCGTTGTCTGCCTACCCGTGTCTCTGCTCACAGGTAGAGGCCTCCCTCCTGGACCCCCGGCCTCACCTGGAGTAGAGGCACTGGTCTCCATGGTGGTAGGGCCGTGGTGGCTTCCTGCTGCAGGACAGGACAGGCTCTGCACAGGGGCTCTGGGGCTCCTTCTTGATCCGCGTGGTTGGGCTGTGGAAGGCTACTGCAGGCACAGGGAGGTCACAGGTGTCAGGGGGGCTCTGAGCCCACTAAGGACCCCTTGAAGCTCCTCCTTCCCTTGCTCTCAGGCTGGTTTTTCCCTTGCACTGGTGACTAGGCCCATGGTTGTCACACTGAGCTGTATTCCTAGACCTCTTTTATTCTCAGACTGTGTCTTCCTGCCTCAGCCTTCCAAGAATGCTGTGATGACCAGAATGACCCTCACACCCTGCTGACAAAACTGTCTACAAGTTCAGCCCTTCAGGTTGTATAACCTGAGACCCAAAAAGCTCCTTCTGGGTAGCAAGCGCCCCAGCTTGGGGCCTGTGGCCTCCTCAGTGCCCTGGGAAACCCCAAGAGAGAAGCCCTACTGGGCAAGGCTGGAGCGGCCCGTCAGCAAGTCTGCCAGTGACTTTAGACAGGTGCTCACAGTTATCTGTGCATGATGCAGCCTTTCCTGTGACCGGCTAGGAGCAACCGCCCATGTGACCCAAGCCACAGCAGATGCCCCAGCGAAGCACCTGTCGTTAGACCACTGATTCTGAACAATGATGCCACTGTCACTGGGCCCGACTCCCAAGTGTGGCTGGGGGGTGCTGACCCAAGCACAATGGAGAGCATCCAAACCATGCCTCCCACACACACAGCCAGCCATCCCTGGGGTGGAGGCAGGAAGCCGAGGACAGCAAGCCCTGGGGCCCTGATGTACCCCTCACTCCAGGGAGGATCAGAGAGGGACACTGTCCACCCTGAGGTTGCACAGCTGGGCAGGGAGAGCCCCAGACCCCAGATGAAAACCAAGGTCATCTCCTCCCTCTTGCTGCCTTGGTCCTGAGGCCCAGCCCAGCACCCTCTGCTCAGCAGTCTGGTTCTTGACTCCCTTCCTGTCCTCCCCGCCCATCCCCCAGCTCCCCATACTCACAGTTCTCTGAGTGGAAATCAGGAACAAACTGCTCATCGCTGTCCGGGACCTGAGCTGTGGAGAGAGGGAGTCTGGGAAGGGGCAGGAGGGGGGACAGCACTGCCACCTCAGTGGGCTTGGCACCCTGGACCTCTGCTCTCCAGCCGGGCTCTGTTTCCTGGGGACTGCAGGAGTCCTGGCTGGAGGCCTGGGGATGCAGAGCCAAATGGGGAGCGTCTGAACCTGGCGCCCAGAAGTCTGCACTGGGAGGACTTCCTGGTGGCTTTGGGACATGGAGGACATGGAGTGGAAAGAAGGTGGCAGTTGGAAGAGGTGGAGACATGGGGTCTCCTGCCACACAAGGCTGGGGGACAGAAGGGCAGGGGCATGGCTAGGCTTGAGGGCAGGTGGGGAAGCTCATGGAGCAGGGCAAGTGCTCCCAGTGGCCGCAGGACTGTGATTCCCTGGCTGCCGGGTACAGCACGGGCAGGGGAGGGCGCTCCCTCTGCTCTGCCCAGCGAAGGGGACACAGACTCCAGCGGGGAGGGGTACGGGGGGGAAGACCCCAGTCTGCAGTGAGGGGAGGCCAGGACTCAAGCCCTGGCCTCAGCTGCGTACCCCACCACTCTGCAATCCCATCCAGGCCCTGTACTTTGGGCTCCAGCCTTGCCTGTCTCACTCCTTGGCTTCTCCAGCATCCCGGAAGGGTGGACGAGGTGTCACCTTACACGGAACAGGCGCACTGACACGGCTGAGGGTAGCCTTGCCACACACGGGACCAGACAGCCCGGGACACACATGTGTCTCTAAGGGCTCTCCAGCCTGTGTGGTAGGAGGGGCCTTGGGCTCACTCTGCACACCGTGGCGGTGGTGACGCTCTGAGCGGTGGCCGGTCCATGCCTGCAAATCGGCCTCTGCTCTTTTAAGAGCTCCCTCTATTTGCTCCAGAAAACCTCGCTCTCCCGGGCCCATCCAGGCCGCCTTCATTCACTCTAGATGGCACGGAATATAAAAGGCCTTCGGGGCCATGATTTGTCTGCTATTATTACAATCTGTCCCACAGGGTTTAGAGATCATTTCTTGACAAATAGGCGAGGGTGTTAGGGACCCAGGAGCCACAGGCAGCAAAGGGTTTGTGACAGGGCGCTAGGACAAAGGGATCAGGTAAATCAGTGGCCACGCAGTGCCATGGCAGATACACAACCAGCTCACACTCATCTTTCTGGGAGCCCTGTGCGTTCAAGGCAGCAGTGCCCAGGCTTGGTCTGCAGTGCATTCCCAGCCCCGTCCCTGCCCAAGTTGGCCAGGTAGCTATGTTTGTAACCTGCACTTTTGTGGTCACCCTTAGGCAGAGGCTTGCATGCTCACAGCTGATGGTACACACTGGTCTCCAGCAGGCAGAAGCAGAGACAGGAGAGGGTTCGGGCCCAGTCTGGGTTACACAGCCAGGCCTGGTCTCAAAACCCCAAAAGAACGGCTCCTTTGAAAGCGCTAGAGACTGTAAGGACAGGGGGTCTGCTCAGCCTGGGCACAGGGCCCGAGGGACCCCCATGGGTGCAGGTGAGGGGCATTAGGAGCAGGTGAGCCACTGTCCCCTTCCTGACACGTGGGTAACAAGCCCCGGGGCAGGGGTGCAGAACTGACACATGTGGGGCCCCCTGGGGTCTCATTAGCGGTCACTTTCCACTGAGTAATAGGCTGGGGGTGGTGCTGTTGACATCACCCGATAGGGAGCCTAGAAGCCTGGGTTACCAGGCCTCCTTCTGCCTCAGGCCTACAAGTCTCCCAGAACCTCCCAGATATGCCCCTCGACTTGATGATCACACCCAAAGCGCTGATGCTACCCCCTTCCAGGAGCCCGGTGAACCCTTTACCCACAGAGGACCAGGCCTGGTTACCCAGACTGTCCACAAGGCCAGAGCCCACGCTCCTGGAGAGCAGGCTTCGGTGACCACGTAGCTGACTTGGCTGAGTGCTGGCCCAGGTCCACCCTCCTCTCCGCCCCTAAAGGTACAAAGGTGCCAGGGGACGGGGCTGATGCTCGGGCCAGGGAAGAGAGAGGAGAGGCCTGGGGCCGCCCCAGATGTGCCCCGGGGGAACTGGGGAGCTGCAGTAGCCAGGTAACCAGGCCCCGGTGCAGCCACCACCCACTTGGGGTCCTGGCTGCAGGTGCCACCAAGCTAGAAGGAGCCAGCGCTCCTCCTGTGCAGAGGACATGGTCTCCAGGAGCCTCCGAAGGGGAGGGGACAGGAATATGGAGCTGCTGAACAGGCAGGGTGTGGGGAGGGGGCTCAGTGTCCTGCTCAGCAGGTGGCCCAGACACAGATCTTACACACTCAGGGAGGCACATGCCCTGGCTCTGACACACCCCACAGCACACATCTGCACTTGGAGCCCCTGGAGGAGGGCTGGGGAGCAGGGATTCTGGGCAAAATTCTGATCCTTCTTTTCATAGAAAATCCATGCGCCCCAAGGCCTGGGGCCCCCTACAATTCCATGCATGGTCTCCAAGGGACAGGGACCCTGCAACTACCATAGGCATCAGGAACGAAAGACCCCCACAAGGACATCGGTGGCCAGCACTGTCCCTTACTGCCAAATGGCCGAGATCATCATCCCCAAGGGCTCCTGAAGGCTCCAGCCAAGCCCATGAAGGAGCCCAGGACCAAGACCAGGAGCAAAACCAGCACAGCTTTCCCACACCTGTGCACATCCTCGGCTCAGCATGCCCACACCGGGGTTCCTTCCCTGTGCCAACCTGACCTCTTCTTGAGCACCCCAGCAACACCCTGGGCACCCAGAAGTCGGACACATCCTCTCAGTCCAACAGCATCGGCCTCCACCCAGCAACACCCAGTGGGGGAGATGTCCAGCCTGCCTCCAGATAGAGACGTACCCAGTGCCCCCTCCCGCCTGCCAAGCTGCCCACCCTAGCTCCCAGCCCCACCCTCACCGCCGGGATCCCCCCTTCTCTCCACCAGGAGCCTGGGTTCGGGACCCGGTTTCCGCGTGCCCACTGCTGGCATGTTTCCAAAGGACCTAGCCTCTCCCTGCCGCCCCAAAGCTCCCCCTGGGTGCCCAGGGACACTGACCTGGTGGGAAGAGGCAGGAGAGAAGGCCGGGGTGGTGCTGGGGTGGTGCGGGGCCACAGGGCCCCGGCAGCTGCATCTGTCTCCGCAGAGAGAGCAACAAGGAGCGAATGGCCTGAGCACCCCCAGGCCTGGTCACCAGCGCCAGCTGGGAACCCGAGCGGCTCCTCCCGAGCAGCAGAGGGAACCACGGCGCTCCCAGCCCCCTCACACGCACACCTCCCCTCCTCCCCACCCACGGGATTTAAATGGACAGGGACCAGTGTGCGTGCATACACACACATGTGCACACTCGCCATCACACCGACACAAGCACACATGAATATGCACCATCTCTACAGGCATCCCTGGGGGGTGCTTCCAAGAACCCCCCCAACCCAGGCACAAATGGACTGACCGCTGCCCGAATGCCAACCTCAGAGCCACCCAGCTCGAAGCCCTGGGCTGCCCACTGGGGACCCTGACAGCCAGGTAACGGAGCCCCCACAGAGAGGCTTCGAAAGGAAGTCGCTGAGCAGCTTCAAACTGACACCTCCTTCCGTATCAGCCCAGCTCCAGAACCTGGAGGGGGGTAAGGGGGCTGGGTACAGCTCTGCCCACACCAGGGGGGCACTTGGCAGCCTCAGGGGAAGGTGCCCACGGCACCCCGACCCCTGCCTTAATTCTCCCGATGTCTCCAAAGCCCTTCTGTCCTCACATTCTCTCGGTGCCGAGGTGCTGGACAGACCAAGTCTCACTTCAGGGTGGACAGGTCAGGTGCTGCAGAGGGTTCCGGGGAGCTGGATTTGAGCTTAAATAACTGGCAAGAAGAAACCCCCACGATGGAGGAACGGGGGTCCCAGATAGAGAAAAGCCCTCAAAAAGGGGCTCCCAGCTTCCCAGGCTCTCGGTCCTCAGGGTTACAATACAGGGGTGCCTGCTCAAGACGGGGCGTTAACCCTTCCCTCAGAGCTGCTCTAAAGCTCTGCCTGCCGCCTGCACCCCACCAGTGACGCTCTCGGGCTCCACCCTGGCCAGCTCAAAGCTGTCCCCCCAAAACCTGCAGGAAGGGGGGACTTTGGCACAGAGGCATTACTGGAGGGACACAGGCAGGGGTGTCACCGCCATTAGAATTACAATTGAGGCCGAGGGGAGGTGGCCCCATCCTCTTGCCAGCGTGCTGAGAAAAGAATTATTCAAACTTTTGTTTTCCTCTTGGCTTGGACAGTAAATCAGCCCTGGGAGTGGGGAAGAAGAAAAACTGAGAGGATTCGAGTCAGTGTTTGCGCAGCTCTGCAGGACGGGAGATTAATTCTTCCTTCTTCTCCTCCTGCCCCGCCAAAGTCCTCCTGCCCCCGCCAAACCCCGTCACCCGAGCACACACCTGGGCCCAGCGGCTCCTGCCAAACAAACTTTGTAAATGAAATTTTCAACCAGGAAAACAGGCCCGGAGCCAAGTTCCACTCAAGTAAGTACCCCACACAATGGTCTGATTCATCCTCAGACCTCGTTAGCAGCCTGGGTCGGGCCGGAGAAAATAAATATCCATATAAGTGTCCGAACTGGACGCCGGTGCGCGGCAAGGGCGAGGCGCGGGGCTCGAAGGGCGCCTTCAGGCGGGGAAGGGGGCAAGGCTGGGATCCTCAACCATGGGGCTGGAAAACTCACCTTCCGCGAGCCACGTCTCCTGGAAGTGACTTAGGTCCTGGAAGAGCTCTGAAGGCCGAATGATGAACTGGTGGTGAGGTGGCTGGTGGGGCGCTGGGAGGGGGGACCCTGGGTTCCGTGGGGCTTCCCGCCACCCCGTGGGGTAGTGGCCCAGAACTAGCAGTTTCCGGGAGTCGGGGGTGGGGCGAGTGTTTCCGCCGGCCCTCCCGGTGAGGAGAGGGGCTCTCGTCTTTACCCTCTGAGTCCGGGGGCGGCAGGGAGCCAGGGTCCATGAGCTGCCTCTGCGGCACCATCAGCCCTCCGCGAAGGCTCCCATTTCCGGACAGTTTCTGAGGGGAGGGGAGGTGGGCTCCGGTCAGCCCAGCGTTCAGCCAGGGGAGGTCCTAGGGGATGGGACTGCGGGGTGATTGCGTCCAAAGGTGCTGGGTCCCGGAGGGATGAGGGGTGACTGGAGGCGGGGGGAGGGGGCGACGCTCACGCTGCAGGCGGTGTACGGCACTTGCTGGTCCAGGGATCCGCCTTTCATCCTCGGCTCCATCAGGCCGCTCCCGAGCCACCCGGCTGGGCCGCGCAGGGGCACGCGGCGCGGGGGTGGTGGTGGTGATGGCACTGTCCTGAGAGAGCTGCGAAGGGGGGACGGGGGCAGGGAGGGGACAGTCCTGAGGCTCTGGGTGGCCACGGAACTTCTCCGGCTCGGGGATGGCGAGGAGGGGTCTGGCACCCACAGGGGTCCCACCTGCTCCGGGGGGCGCCGCTCTGTGGTCGGCAGTCCGCGCGGCGGGCTCGGTTACATAAGACGCGTGTGCATGCGTGTGCACGTGTGTGGGTGTGCGCGCGCGCGGGCGCACCTCACCCCGCGCCCCCTCTAATCCCACATCCCAGAGTCCCCCGCCCCCCACCCGGCCCTGGGACCTGCGGAGGCGGCGGGCAGAGTGCGGGGCGTAGGAGGCGCGCGGAGCTCATGGACTTTCTGCCGCCGCCCCCTCCCGCTGCCTCACCTGAGGCCCGGGCGTAGGCGCGGGAGCCGCAGGGGGGTCCCTAGCCCGCCCGGGAAGACGCCCGGGCAGCGCGGCAGGGCGGGAGCGAGGCCGCACCGGCCCGGGTCCCCGCGCGCCGGGGGCTCGGTGCGCCGTGGCCAGTTGTGAGCCCGGGGGAGCCGCTGATTGGTGCGTTTCCTCCGCGCGGCCTCGCTTGCCCCCCCAACCGCACAGCCCGCTCCCTTTGTTTCATTGACTTTCCTGAATGAAACCCCAGGGCCCGGCCCTCCCACCAATCCGGAGGCTCGCTCTCCGAGCCGGGGGCGGAGCTTCCCAGCCGCGGAGCCAATCATACGGTAGGGGCTGGCTCTGGGTTTCATTCACGTCTTGGGCTCCCATTCATAAAAAAATGAACTCCTTGCGACCGGAGTTCATTCATAAAGATCCTAGGGAAAAGGAGCGAAGTTGAGAGCCCCGCAGCTCTTCTGCGGCGCTCGGCGTCTGCCCCGGCGCAAGGCGCGGGCGTGGGCATACGTCTGCTGCGTCTGTGTGCAGGGGGAGTGTGAACGTGTCTGTGTGCGCGCCTCGGCAGGGTGGGGGCAGGGAGCGCGTGCCCAGAGGAGCCGTAATAACTGGCATTTATGAAACTCCGGCTTCCACGTGCTCGTTTCGTTCCCACAGCCGGGTGCGGCCGTTCTATTGTTTCCATTTTACAGATCATGCAGGAAAGCTCGGAGGGGACCCAAGTCCTCCGAGCTCCTTCAGTCCCAAGAGCCCCTCGAGGCTGCGGTCGTGTATTCACAGCGCTGTGACCCCCGTGCGTGCACAGTATGTGCTCAGTAAATGCGAAGGCACGGAAGCCAGGCCTGCCCTTTGGGGCCTGTGCTTAGCAGAGCCGCTCTGTGACCCGCTTTCTCCTGATTGGCAAGGTCTGAGAGTAACTCAGCCGTCTTCCCTCCTCCCTGAAACCCCAGGGGTCCTGAGAGCAAAGCCCCAAGTTCTGGTGTCTTGGGCTTGGTGGGTTCGGCCCAGGCCCGAGGCTGGGCCCGGTCTCCCCCACCTCATGCACTCATCGCTGCCTCCAGTGACGACTGATCACGCCAGACACGGAACCGAGCGGCAGACAGGCGGGCAGGTGGGCAGGCAGGTAGCCATGCCCAGCTTCTGACGTCCGGACCCGGGTCCCTGCCTTTCCAAAGACGCCCAGGGTTCCTGCTTCCTGCTAACTGCGCTGTCAGCTACAGGCTTTGCAAAGCCGGCCGGGAGAGGCCGCTTTCAAGACCCGGCTGAGTGCAGCTTCCTTCAGGGAGGGACCCTCGGGAGCTTACCCTGCCTGTTCCTAGACCTTGCAGCGCCAGAGTGCTTAGTCTCCAAGGCTGGCTGAGACAGGTGAGAACCAAGTTCCCCTGCTCTGCTGAAGCTCGAATGTGCTGCCCCCTCCTCCAGAAAGCCTGGGTTGCCTGACACTGGCTCTGGTCTGGGGTTGCACACTGGGCTTGTTTGACAAGCAGGTCCATTAAAGAACGCACTCATGGTGTTCCCCAGCAGCCCTGCCCCAGGAAGGTGGGACAAGCCCCAGCAAATCCTACTCTGGCTGGGTGGAACCAGTTCAGGGAGTCTCTCCAGGCCTGGGCAGCAGGGGAGGGGCAGCATTGTTTGCTTCTTGTGGGGTCCAGGCGATGTGGGTCCCCGGCAGCTTGAGGTTGCAGCTGGGGCCTCTATGGGGCCAGAGCACCTCACAGTTCTGATGGGGGCAGTGCCCTCCCTGTCCCTGTTCTCCCAGGCTGGGCAGGGACTGAGGGCCTTCCTGCCTCTCTGGGCCACCACTGCCACCCTGTCACTGCTTCTGACAGCTTCTCTCCTACAGCCCAAGAGGGAAGCTGGGTGGCCCTCAGGACTCACGCCAGAGCGACATCACCAGCCAGCCCACTCTGCACTCAGCCTGGACCCTTGGGAACTCCTGTGATCCCGGGAGGGTCCACTGTGACTGGTGTTCTCAGCCTACAAAAGAAGAGGGGACAACGCCTGTACCAAGAGCCACACAGCGGGTGACCCTGCAGACACCTAGTGCACAGACCTGGGGGCGCTATAGGTGCTTGGGGTCCCTGTGAAATACTTTTGGGCAGGGTGGGTCCCACAGCTGTTCTCTCCCCTTCAGTCGCCTGAGGGCTCTGCCCTGCCTCTCAGGAGTCTCTGTGAGAAATGTAGCAGGTGCAGTGGTGCACGCTGTCTGTAATTAATCCCAGTTACTGGGGAGACTGAGGCAGGAGGATGAGCATTTGAGGCCAGCCTGGGCTGCTTCAGGACATCAAGGCCTCTGATGGAGGAGAAGGGAGAGGGTCAGAAGTCATGGGGGCATGGCCTCCCCCTGGAAGCAGGCCCTCCCTGGGTAGGGGGCTGGCCTCCCTGCTCTGGGGTAGGTTCCTGGGGATGCTTCTGTGGGTGACCTGGCAACCCTTGGTCAGAGATAGAAATGTCTTCTGGGCCCAGGACTGCTGAGTCTCAGAGGATTGGGGGCAGAGTGCAGAGGGACCCCAGGGCAACTTTGGCACATGGCCCCAGGCAGGAGGACAGGGACAAACACTGTCTAATCGTCATCCTCAGGCCTGCCACACTGGAACTGTCGCAGTGGCGTGTTCGAGGGGTCAAGCAGACGAGAGAGTGCAGATTGAGGAGACTGTGGGGTCTTTCCCAGGGGCCAGAGGGTCAGGACCACCACTACCCAAAAAGAAAAAACATCCTGGGACTTCCTTTGCTTTTCTTTTTTGGGGTGAGGGGGTGGGAGATGAGAAAAGTTCTTTTTTGTTTTAAAGTTTTGTTTATCTATTTATTTGCAACATGGCTTTGCTGTATACTCCAGACTGGCCCTGACCTCAGGGTGACCCTCCTGCCTCAGCCTCCTATGCAGGAGTGGTGGAATCATAGACAAGCACCAGAACAATGTGCTCTCTCGATGTCCTCTGTTCACAGTTTCCTCCAAAACACGGGGGTTCTGAATGTGTGTCCGTGGATGTGGGCCCCAGAAACTAAAGAGGGCGAGCACAGCTGTTATCAGAATCAATCTTTTTTTTTTTGTACTGGAAATCGAACTTAGGACCCTGTGCTTACTGGGCAAGTGCTGTGCCATTAAGCTAAATCTGTAGGCCCTCAGGGTCAATCTACAGATTCCCCACCCCACCCAGCTCAGAAGCCACCACCCTGGTGCCTTTTATCACATGGAGGGAGGGGACCCTGCGGGGGAGGGAATGGGGCCACCTCCCTGGGTTGTTCCCCTGCCCCAGGGCCCAAGGCCCACAGCCTCTGCACCTGGTCCTCAGGGAGGTACAACCCAGCTGGGCCACTCAGTCTCGGCAGCACGGAGGCATTCTAGGGGCTGTGGGGAGTCCCCGCAGTCTCCGAGATGCTCAGCTGTCAGGGACGGGAGCCCCTGTGACAATTATGTTATTCTCAGGACACAAGAGATGAGTACAGTGATTTCCATAGCCCCCGTGAGGAGCTGGATTTAGGATTTTTGAGGGGAGCTGTCACTTTTTGAGGAGCTATACTTAGAATGTGCCAGAAACCCAACCTCCACCCCCAGCCCTTTTTGCTTTTTGGTTTTGAAACAAGGTCTTGCTAAGTTGCCTGAGCTGGCCTCAGACTCACAATCCTCCGCTGTGCCCGGCATGTTGTGACATTTCTAAACAAGCTGAATCTCTGTGTTCACCTTCCTTTGCAGTGTGGTTTTCTGAGGGGAGACTGGGTCCGTGCTGGGCAGCCGGACAGCGAGGGTCCCCTGGGGAACGATGCACCTCTGACCCTCGGATGGCACTGGTGACTTCTGCCCTCCATGTGCTGCCGGCCACGGATCGGGACCCCAGAGGCACAGCCCCACTTTGTCCTGTGCACCCCACCCCGTTAGCTCTGATTACCACCGCTCTGTGAGCTGCTGCTGGGTAGAAGATTCTCTTCCTCCCTTTGAATTTTGCCCCTTTCTGTCAAAGGGAGGCAAATGGGCACCAGCGGCAGGGCTGAAAGGTGAGGGTGGGATCTGAGCCAGTTGGGCCCAGTCCAAGGCGCTCCCCTTTTTAATTAAGTGTGGACTTGAGTTATGAGGGGCCGAGGCTCCCGCAGGGCAGGGAGGTGATTTCTCCCCGGGAAGTTCCACTTAGTGGCTCCTCTGCCTGTGTCTGTATTTGTTCTTCTTTGCCATAAAGGGCAGCGGGGTAGGGGGACCCCAGCTCGCCAGGGCGGGGCAGGGCTGGCCGGAGCCTGGAGATCTGAACCTCCTGGACTCCCCTTTGGGGGAATAGGGCAGCTTTGGCTTTATTTCTCCTCCCACAAACAAAACCTCTTTCTATTTCTTTTTTCCTTTTGCACTGAGCCAGGTCCTCAGCCCTTTATTTAGTTTTTGCTTTGGGCAGGATCTTGCTAAGCCAAGAAGTTTAGCAGGCTGGGTTGGAACTTGGTGCCCTCCTGCTCAGCCTCCTGGAATGGTGGTGCCTGGGTAAAACCTCTTTCTTCCATCCCGGTGACCCCTGGCTTGCAGCTGTGGCCAGAGCTGCTCTCTGGGCTCTCACCCACCCTGAGGTGACCCTGGCCAGTGAGTACGCCGCAGTGGTTGGTTCACAACCCGGGGTCACAGCTGAGCCCCGTCCTGAGTAAGGGTTCTGCTCTCCACCACTGTGGGGACCTGGTGGCCACATGCTGAAAGACCCCTAACCAGATGGGACCCCACGTTCTGCTCTGTTTTGAGACTAGGTCTCACTGTGCAGTTCAGGCTGAGCTGGAACTCACGGTCATCCTCCTGCCTCAGCTTCCTGAGTGCAAGGATCACAGGTATGAGCCATGGGGTCTGGCTGGGACCCACACTGTGTGGTGTGCATGGGGACCCCCACCTTTCTGGAATCCACTTTGCTTACACACCTCTTCCAGAGCAGCACTTCGGGGGCCACTTGGGAGCTGAACACCCCAAAGTCCAGAGGGGGACTCACCCTGTGTCCTGATGGGCAGAGAGGAAGCTGACCCTCCCCCATCTCCACTACTTAAGGTGGCAGCTGCTGAGCTAACAAAGGCCTCAGTGAGTTGCTCTTTCTCCTCAGATTTTCATTTTTGTTTTTTAAAATGTTAGTATCCTCATTACTGTTGTACACCTTGCTGTGGAGCCCAGGCTGACCTCAAATTGGCAGTGAGCTTCCTGCCTCAGCCTCCTCAGTGCTGGATCATGTATTATTTCTGAAGAGCTGGGCTCTTGCTGTGCTGTCCTAGGCTGGCCTTGAACTCCTGGCCCAAGCTCAGTCTGACCAAGGGCAGGTGGGCGGGACTCCTGGTCCGCAGGTTGCTGGCTCTGCCATGCTAGACACTGGAAGATCTGCTGGGGTCCTGTGGTCAGCTCCTTAGGGGCCGCCCAAGTGACTCCCACAGAGGGAAAGCTGCTGGGGGGCTTTCTGCTCCCTAAAAATTGAGCATGTAAAGTACATTTAATTAAAATGATAAATCTGACTGCAGTGTGGGTTTTATAGCCTCGGGAAAGGGTCTGCTTTACGTTGTTTGCAGAAAGGGTCGGTGGAGGCAGAGAGCAGAGCTCGGGGCTCCAGGCTGGTGAAGCAACCAGGGCTCCGCCTCTCCGGTTCCCGTGCCCAGCACCCCTGCTCTCCTGGTGCACAGCGGGGGGCGGGGGAGCATCGACTCACCCCACCCCTCGCCCACCACTGCCTACCCCTCATGGTGCCCAGTCTCTGCCGGGTCCCTTGCTCCTTCCCAGCCTGAGTCCTTGTGCCACACTTTTATTTATCTTTATCTTTTGTAGTGCGGGAGATTAAGTCCAGGACCCAGTGTTCGGTGAGACCCCTCCCCGGGATCCTCCCTGACTGATCCCCCAGGCCTTGGAGTTTGGGCCTTGTCTGGGCTCCACTCTGAAGTCACCCAGTCTGCCCCCCTCCTCCCTCGGGTGGCTCAGGTCAGCCAGGTTTCTGCTTGGCCCCATGAGGGCAGCACTGGAGACAGAAAGTGGCCAGACTGACTTGGTCACTTCTCCTGACCGTCACCCCAGCTCCTGGACCAGGGAAGAACCCACTTGACTGTGTTATGCCTCTTCTGCAGCTCTGCTGGGGACATGGGGCTGCCTAGCACCTAGCAGTTCAGAAGCCTCAAGACAGCCTGGTGCAAGAGGAGGGGTGCACGGTCCCCAACCTGTCCTCAGGCCTCTGTGTGTGCAGAGAAACCTGAGAGGGCTTGGGGAGCCCAGCACTGTGCCCCCTTTCTGGAGCTGAGCAGGACGATGTCAACTTTGGGAATCTAGGGAACCCATCAGGGACCCTGTTTGGAGACACAGCAGCCAACAACCCAGAAGGAAGGCCCCTGGCTTTCAGCTGGATGCTTAGCACCTGCAGCTGTGCTTTCTAAGTTTGGGAGCAAAGGGTATTTGGGGTGTCAGGGGTGTCTCTACCAGCCAGTGCTTCCTGTTTAGCTGGGGTGGGGGAAGCACAGAGGTTTTTGTTTATTTCGCTTTTGTTTTCTGAGACAGGGTCTTGCATTGCTGCCTGGGCCAGCCTTGAATATGCAAGGATCCTCCTGTCTGAGCCTCCCAAGTGTTGGGGCACAGTGATATTTTTCATGATCAAGTTTGAGGCTTTGCAGGGTGACCCAAGGTCCCTAGGTCCTGGCGCTGTCCTTTGCTGGTCTCCGCTGACCCTGCCAAGAACAGGGCTATAGGCCAAGGCAGTTGGGACTGTGCATAGCCCTGGTGCCAAGATGCCCCAGGGGAGGGTGGAGCCACAGAGGCCCTGGGTCCCCTTGGGTCTCTGGGGAGCTGCAGGGCTGAACCCCAGGTGATGCGGACTCCCTACCTTCAGGGTGCTGGCTGTGGCTGGGTCCCCCTCCTGTGGTTCCCTGGGGTCCACGTACTGGGGACTCCACAGCTCTCCGCTCCTCCTCTGCCTTCTGCAGCTCCTGCTCTGAGCTGTGCGGCGGGTCAGGTACCCGGGGCAGCTGGGGCTTCAGGACTCATGGTGAGCAAACCTGGCCTGGGCTGTTAGGCACTTTCCATTCAGACCCTGTGGCGCTGGGCAGCGGCTTCGAGGGATGCCAGCGCTGGGGTCCCAGCCAGATGTAAAGCCATGGTGGGTAGCGCGGGGCTGGGGGACGTGGAGGACGCCGACCTGTTCACTCATCCATGTGTTTGTTTACTGAGCAGCTAATGCATGCTGAGGCTGCACCAGAGCTCAGAGAGGCAGAGGGGCCATGCCCAGGCCCAAAGCCCCCGGCCTCCAGGGACAGTGCGCCCAGGACACCGCAGCCGGGCTCCCCGATGGGAGATGGGGCCTGACCGCCCTGCCCCACAGTGCCCGGCCAGGTACCCGCACACCCTCAGCCCGGCTTCTGAGAAGCCCGCTTCCCAGCAGAGCCCACTCCCAGGGTGCCCCTCCTGGTTTTTCCTGCCAACTCCCCTTTATAATCGCCTGCGGGAGGGGGCGGCGGTAGCCCTTTGTCTGCAGGAAGGAAGCAATTAAATTATTAGCACTCTAAGAAATTAAACGACCTAACTTATGGTAGAATAAGTTTAGCAAAAGAAGGAAAAAAAGAGAGAGGAGGAGGAGGAGGAGAAGCCCTGTAATGTGAGAAAACAATTAGGAAGAGTTATAGAAGGCTGGGCCGCCTTTATTGTCTTAAAGTTAGCAGTTCATTGATTCCAGGGCAGGAGGTGGCGGCAAAGACGCTCAGGAAGCGCCTCCGCTGGCTGCCGCAAAGGGACAGACAGGAGGAGGCGGTGGCAGGAGGTCAGGGCTGCACCCACCTGGGTGAGAGAAAGAGGGTTAGTGCCCCAGCTGCTCACATTCGTCCCAGGTATGGGCCCTGAGGGACCCAGCCCAGCTGGGGACCAGGACGGGCTGCCCTGACCTCCTGTAGCATGGGATTGGGGAGGTGAACCTCACGTTGCTCCAAGTGTAACAGAAAGTGTGCCCCAGCCGGGGTGCTTCAAACAGCTGGACAGATGGACAGACAGACTGCATCCTCCTCCCTTTGGGACCGATGTGAGCTGATCAGGTGTGGAGCCAGGACCCCTCCTCCAGACCTCCGAGGGCACTTGGGAAAACTTGAGGGCACCCCTTCCCCTTGGGACTTGGAGAGATCCTCACTCTGTCCTTCGGGCTGTGACCAGTGACCAAAGAGGTCAGCATTGTTGGTCTTCCCGCCGACACACCAGATGCTCCAATGGGCAGAGACTCCAAAATGACACCCAGGGTGTGGAGGAAGATTGATTTCCATGAGTCCCCCTGATCCGGGTCATTCCCAGAATTCCGGGCCCTGATCGCTGGTGGGCTCAGCCTTCTATGGGGCAAGCAGGGAGAGCAGAGCAGAGGGGCTGTCCACTGAGGATTGGCTTCCACAGGGTGCGTCGCAGTGACCAGCTGTGGGTTGCAGTGACCAGCTGTTTCTAAGAAACAACAGTAACAGGAGCTGTGACCAGAACTATTACCTGGGCAACTAAGAACCTGAAGTCCATGGCTGGCAGGGAATCTGCTGCCACACAAGGAGCACCTGCACTCTGAGGCTGAGGCAGGAGAATCTCGAGTGTGAGGTCAGCTTGGGCAAACCCTGTCACAAAATAAAAAGTAAGTGGAGTGCAGCTCAGCATGAAGGACCTGGGTTCCGTGCCCAGTACTAGAAGGAAGGAAGGACAGAAGCAGAAGGAGACTGGAGTCCATAGAATCTTCTGGACAGACCTCAAACACTTGGAGACTCCTGGAAGAGCCAGGGGTTACTACCGCCCGCAGCCGAGGGAGGTTGCTCCCAGCCAATGCAGGAAAGCGGTAAGAAGGGGCGGGGGCCCTGGACTCCCAGGAAGGCCAGGCGCGAAGTGGACCTGGGAGGTGGCAGAGGCTGGAGCAGGGGGCCCTGTGTGGGGACCCAGCTTGGTGCGGGGCCAGTGATGTCTCCCTCTCTCTCTCTCTCTGGCTCTCTCTCTCTGTCTCTCTGGCTCTGGGCTGTGACTACATGTGGTCCCCAGCTGCCCCTTGGGTTGCTTCTTCCGTTGCTTCCAGGGCTTCCAGACCAGCATAGCCCACGAGTGCTGAAGCCCCTGTGAGCCTGGGCACGTCCTCCTGGGGCCCACGTGGTCAATGCCGCACATGCTCCATGCAGACAGTAGTCTGGGGACCAGGTGAGGACAGTGCTCAGAAGGGACATAGCTCTGAAAGCAGTTCCGTCCCGTGGTGGCTCTGTGGGTGTGGAGCCCATGCCTGCCCAAGGTCAGCGGCATCCATGTGCGAAGGTTCTCATTTGACACCAGCCTCAGGGACGCCTTGCTGTGCAGAGGGGAGCAAAGAGGGAATAAGGCGGGATGGAGGTGTAAGTAAAAAAATCCTCCCCCAAAGGAAATAACCACCCATTCTGAAAAGCTCAGGAAACTGGGCCGGGTGATGCACACCTGAATCCCAGCTCTCAGAAGGCTGAGGCAGGAGGATCACCATGAGTTCCAGACCAGCCTGAGTGACATAGTGAGTTCAGGGCTGCCTGAACTGCATAGCAAGACCTGCTCTCAAAAAAAAGAAAAAAAAAAAAAAAAAAAGAATAAAAATAAAACCCTCAGGAAACAGAGATAGACAGTATGGAAAAAGAATGTTGGGATAGGGCTGGGGAGTTAGCTCAGTGGCATAAGCGCCTGCCTTGCAAGGAGGCAGTCATGAGTTTGACCCCTGGTGCCGATTAAAAAAAAAAAAAAAATGAAAAAACAACAGAACTTTAGAATGTTGGGATAAAAAAGGTATGGATAGGGGGCTGGGGATTTAGCTCAGTGGCATAGGCACCTGCCTTGCAAGCAGGTGGTTGTGAGTTCGATCCCCGGTACTGATAAAAAGAGAAAAAAAATGTAAAAAAAAAAGGCATGGATAGATAAGCAGATGGAGGAATAAATGAGTGAAAATGGAAGGATGAATGGACAGAAGAATGAATGAGTGGATAGAGGGTGAATCAGTGGATGGACAGATGAACAGGTACAAGTGAGGGTGTGAATGAGTGGATGTGTTTACCATGAAAGGATGGGTGGATAAATAATGGGTGGGTGGACGAGTGGATGGGTGGGTAGTGGGTAGTGGATGGGTGGGTGGACAGGTGCGTGGGTGTATGGGTGGGTGAACGAAATGGAGATCAGGATTCTACATGCACCTGTGGTAATAGGCCGGGACTGCTGAGCATGGCTAATGTAACCCCATCCTTTGGAAGCAGAAGGTGAGGTCCTTACATCATGAGGTATTGGGCTGGGTGTGTGGGAACACTGTGATCTGAGGGAGAACAGATTCGATCCCATTTGATCTCTGTAGTTGTAATCCATGCCGTATGCAGTGTCTCAGCCGCTGCAGGGGTGCAGCCCCCTGCAGGGGGCCTGAGTCCTGGCCCACTGCCCAGTGAGGAGGAGTTCAGGTTGCGAAGCCAGTGTGGGGCAGAGCTGGCTTGGGACACCTTGGGGAAGTGGCAGGAGGTTTGGGCCCCCAGGC